GAAAAGGTTGAACATAAAAAGTTAACTGTTAAAAATAATTACACTGAAAAATTGAAGAATAGGATGTAGAATGCTAAAAGTCAAAATAGTTAATTTTAAGAATCTATCAATGGATTTTCAGAACCACAATAAGATGTATTACATTATTGAAGGAAAGAATGAAGGTTAAAAGATATGGAATAAAGAAAAAAAGTTCCAATTTTATTTTAAAATATTTACAGAAGAATTTGAAATAATTATGGGAAGGAAATGTTTAAAGAAAAAAATTTTAAAAATTCTTAGAAGTAATAGAGATATAGAGTCTCAGAATGTAAGAGCCTACAGAACACTAAGCATGACTAAATATTATAAATCTCAATTTAATATAATTAAATTTTAGAACATTAATGATAAACACGCTTTCCAAAGAATGAGGAAAAAAAGTCTTTCAAAATGGTAAAATATAATGATTGGCACCATGTGTTTCATTAATGGCACTGGTTAATAGATGGAAAAAAAAAGCTAAACAATAAAGAAAGGCAATAGAACAGAACTATTTGCCACAATTTTATCAATTTTTGATTTATTATTCAAATATGAGACCAAATGAGGATGTTATAGACATGAATATATATAAACAAATCATTTGTACCCCCATAATATACTGGAAAAAAAAACAAAAAAGAAACAGAATTAATTGTTGTCAGAGCAGGGTAGGCTGTGGCTGGCAACCGGGCTTGGGTGAGGAATGCCAAACATACCTCAGGAAGCCTGGGATGCAAGAAGATATTCATGAAGTTTTGTATAGGAATAAATTATTAATAATATACCTCACCAAGTAAAAATAGTTATTTAATACTTTTTTTAAAAAGTCTGAAAATAATATTCCAGATGATTGCAACATGACAGAAATGAAAAATAGAAAAAGTACCGAGGGCTAATATTTCAGTTTTGTTCAAATTACAGTAGCTACAAAATTGTTTTGTGAGAAAACGAAAGTGAAATTTTGAAAGTTAAAATTCTAAAAATACCCAATAGAACAGGAGACATAGAATATGCAACTTTCAAACATCAGAGTGTGAGGGAGTTTGGAAAAAGAGAACTAAATGAAATGACCAAAAGCATGAAAGTGAGAAAAAAGAAAATTCTCAAAAAATGTAAAATTAAAAAATGCTTAATCGGAAACATAAGATTGAGAAAGCAGATATATGTTCTTAATGATTACAATACTGCTAATTAATAATTCTACTTCAAAGTATAAAACCTAAACAAACAACCATGTAATGTAAAATATGCTGCAAAGATGACCAGTATATTTTCTGATTTTACAGCCATTTAGCACTGGAACCAGGCAAGGTTGCTCACTATCTCCATTTCTATTCAACATGATACTGGAAGTCCTGGCCATATCAATCAGAAAAGAGAGTCGAATTAAAGACATCCAAATAGGGGAAGAAGAGATCAAACTCTCACTCTTTGCTGATAACATGATATTATATCTAGAAAACCCCAATGATTCAACCAAAAGACTCCTGGATAAATGAATTTAGTAAGTCTCAGGATACAAAATCAATACACACAAATCAGAGGCGTTCATGTAGGGCAATAACAGTCAAATTGAGAACCAAATCAAAGACTCAATACCCTTCACAATAGCAACAAAGACAATAAAGTACCTTGGAATATATTTAACTAAGGAGGTAAAAGACCGCTACAGGGGAAACCATGAAACACAGAGGAAGGAAATTTCAGAGGACATAAACAGGTAGAAAACCATACCATGCTCGAGGATCAGCAGAATCAACATTGTTAAAATATCTATACTACCCAAAGTGATCTATAGATTCGATGCAATCCCTATTAAAATACCAACATCATTTTTCACAGATATAGAAAAATAATTTCACACTTTATAAGGAACCAGAGAAGACCATCTAGCAAAAGAAATTCTAGACAATAAAAACAAAATGGGAAGAATCAATTTGCCAAATTGCAAACTATACTTCAAGGCTGTAGTAATTAAATCAGCTTTGTACTGGTACAAGAATAGGGACATTGACCACTGGAATAGAACTGAGAACCCAGATATAAAACCATCTTCATGTAGCCATCTGTTCTTTGACAAAGCAGACAAAAACATACACTGGGGAAAAGAATCCTTATTCAATAAATGGTGCTGGGAAAACTGGATAGCCACATGTAGAAGACTGAAACAAGACCCCACACTTTCACCTTCACAAATCAACTCACGCTGGGTAACAGACTTAAACATAAGGTGTGAAACTATTAGAATTCTAGAGGAAAATGTTGGAAATACTCTTCTAGGCATTGGTCTAGGCAAAGAATTTATGAAAAAGACCCAAAGGCAATCACAGCAACAATCAAAATAAACGAATGAGACCTGATCAAACTATAAAGCTTCTGCACAGCAAGATAATTGTCACGGGAGCCAACAGACAACCTACAGAATGGGAGAAAATTTTCACATGCTACACATCCCACAAGGGGCTTATAACTAGAATCTACTTAGAACTCATGAAAATCAGCAAGAACAAAATCAGACAACCCTATCAAAAAGTGGGCAAAGGACATGAACAGAAACTTTTCAAAAGAAGACAGAATAATGACCAACAAATATGTGAAAAAATGCTCAACATCTCTAATCATTAGGGAAATGAAAATCAAAACTACAATGAGATATCACTTATGTCCAGTGGGAATGGTCTTTATCAAAAAGTCTCCAAACAATAAATGTTGGCATGGATGCGAAGAGATAGGAACACTCTTACACTGCTGGTGGGACTGCAAACTAGTTCAATCTCTGTGGAAAGTAATTTGGAGATACCTTAAAGTGATACAAGTAGCAATTTGATCATTTGATCCAGCAATTCCACTAACCATTTGATCCAGCAATTCCACTAACTGGGTATCTACCCAAAAGAACAAAAGACATTCTATAAAAAAAGACATCTGCACTCGAATATTTATAGCAGCACAATTCACAATTGCAAAGTTCTGGAAATAACCCAAGTGCCCATCAACACATGAGTGGATTAATAAAATGTGGTATATGTATACCATGGGGTGCTATTCAGCTTTAAGGAACAATGGTAATATAGCACCCCTTGTATTTTCCTGGATAGAGCTGGAACCCATTCTAATAAGTGAAGTATCCCAAGAATGGAAAAATAAGCACCATATGCACTCACCAGCAAATTGTTATTATCTGATCAACACCTAAGTGGACATATAGGAATAACATTTATTGGGTGTCGGGCAGATGGGATGGGGGAGGAGGGCACGGGTATATACATACATAATGAGTGCTATGCACACCATCTGGGGGATGGACACACTTGAAGCTCTGACTGGGTGGGAGGGGCAAGGCCAATATACATAACCTTAACATTTGTATCCCTATAATATGCTGAAATAAAAATCAAAAATAATAATTATAACAGCATTAATATTAATGTTAATAGATGGATACATAAATAAAATCAATGTTACAAACCATAAGGTATTTTAATCTATATAAATTAACAAATAATGCAACAAGAATATTATAATTGGTTGTAAAGATAAAAATTTGTACTGTGATACTGAAAAACACATGCTAACCTTTGGCTCTGAGAAATTAGGAGAGAAACTGTGTTCAGGCAGTGTTTTAAAGGTTATTTTAGCTTGAATTTTGTATATATTTGTTTTAAGCATTATCTTAGAAATGAGTGCAATGTTATAAGTTGTTAATTCTCATTTGCAGGAACAAATATGTTTGTTATATTTTTACTTTAATTTCTTTTTTTAAATAAACTAAGAGATTAAATAATTAAGATTGTAAAAGGGTAAAGTCATGTGGCAAGTTGATGATGTAAAACTTCATTGCGTGGTCTTAGAAATTTCATTTTTAAATCAATTGAAATCCTTAAGTCTTATGTAAAAGTTTGCTATTGATAGCTTAATCTGCCACTCCTACATTAAATAAAGTCTAGAGGACAGAGAAAAATATCCTGGTTTGAAAATTAGAGGAATCAAATTTTCAGATACAGTATTTTAGGGTCAAATGTAGATGGATAAAACAAAATTGGATAAATCAATAGGCAAAAGCTGTAATAGTTACATAGAAATTCTATATATAACTTGATTATAACACCACACTTATGATTATGCTATGAGCCTAAATGCAGAGAGTTAATCAGTGGTAAGTTAATGTTGATATTAATGATAAATAGTTTTGAAATTATATGTTTAAGACTCATTGCTCTGCATCTTATGTATTTGACAGATGATTCCACTTTAAGCTCCAGATTTGGTAATGATTCTTTTGAACCCACGAAATTGGTTTTAGAAGAGTAAAACAGAACACAAGCTTCACAGGATCAGATATTTGTGTGAATTTTGTTCCTTAATTTATCCCAAGAGGTTGTAATTTTTGAGGATATACAATAGATACAAAAAGCATGCAAATTGAATAATCAAATGCATAAATGTATGAATGAAAAAAGAAAGAAGAAAGAGAGAGAAAGAGATTGACAGAGAGAAAGAAAAAAGTAAAGAACAAAGAAAGAAAGAGGGATGAAAAGAAAGTAAAAAGAAGAAAGAGAGGGTGGGAGGGTGGAAGGAAGGAAGGAGTTAGGAAAAAGAAAATAGTTTACATGGTCAAATTTTCAGTAACTCATATCTCCAATCATAAATTACAAAACATCATTTATAATAAGTTCCTTCCCTAGAAAAGAACCAGCTGTAGTCTATCAAAGGCTTTACAAGAGGACATATAGGCAGTGGCCACACTGCTGTCTCCTAGGATAGCCCTTGCAGAATAGGTCATCAGTCCTTGAACTTGAGATACAGTGAGGCTTCTGCCAGCCTTAAAATCTATTCATCAGAATTCAGGAACAAACCAACTTATTCTGCAAATACAGCAATAATAAGGTGAGGACCAGGAGTTATTCCTTAAGGCAAGAACATAGAAGTCTTCCCAAAAAGATCAAACACTTCAGTAAAAGAACGAGGTAAGAATCTTATTTCTTGGTAAACACACAGAGCACTCGTTCTCTTATCTGTTTGGTCCTCACTCCATAAATGATTGGGTTGAGAGAAGGTGGGATAACCACATAGAGATTGGCGATAAGAATGTGAATATAGCTTGGTACGCTGTGCCCAAATCGATGAGTAAGGAAAGAGAAGACCGAGGGGATGTAGAAAGCACAGATGACCCCAACATGGGAACCACATGTGCTCAGGGCTTTTAGCCGAGCATCCTGTGATGGGAGGCGGAAGACGGCACGGAGAATGTAAACATATGAGATGCCAATAAGGACCAGGTTCAGAAGAAAGAGAGCGACCACGAACAGCCCATAGATAGCATTGATACGGATGTTTCCACAGGACAATTTTGCAATGCCCATGTGCTCACAGTAGGAATGGGCTATTGTATGAGCCTGGCAAAAAGGTAGGCGGTAGATGAGATAGATCATTGGAATTGTAAGCAAGACTGGACGAATCACTATGATCATGCTGATGCCCACCAGCACCCGGGATGTCAAGATGGTCGTGTAGTGAAGGGGAGCACAGATGGCCACATAGCGGTCAAAGGCCATAGCCAGTAAGACCTCAGCCTCCATGCCAGTGAATGCATGGATCAGAAACATCTGGGCCACACAAGCTGCAAAGTTAATCTCATGAGCATCAAACCAGAAGATCCCCAGCATGCGGGGCACAGAGGTTGTAGAAAGGGCCAAATCAATTGTTGACAGAATGGCCAGAAAGTAGAACATGGGCTCCCGGAGGCTCTGTTCTGCCTTGATGACTAGCAGAATGGTGGTGTTGCCCAGTAAAGCCACGAGGTAAACAGAGCAGAATGGCAGGGAGATCCAGACATGGATGTCTTCCAGACCTGGGATTCCAGTGAGGAAAAATGTGGCTGGGTGAAAAATGCTCCTGTTATTGTGATATATCATCCTTCATGGATCAGAGAGGTGAAGAATTTCTTTCTCTTGTTTGAGGAAAAACAAAGAAGGAGGGAGGGAGGGAGAGAGAGAAAGAGAAAGAGAGAGCAGAGATAAAAGGGCATGCTACATCAATTGCTAGCTCTGCAAATTGAATTCTCATTACTATGCAAATAAGCCTGTTTATAAAGCTCATATATTGAATCATTGAATCATCACTGTAGTTATTTGAATAGGGTAGGACATGAATAAATTCAGATTTTTCATCCTGCCTGATGACTGAATTCTAATTCCAGACATGAAGGTTTGCAGAAAGCTCAATGTAGATTTTCTAATAATTAGACCTTTCCTTTCACTTTGGATGAGAATAGGATGTGATTCCACTCAAGGAATCCATTGTCTCTTGAGTGACACTGACAACATCAAAAACACATAGGGGCCCACACACTATAGAGGCTTTCAGAAATATCCTTAAGTGATCCATAATGAAAATAAATCATAGACCTCAGGTATATGGGCTCTTTCACAGTGAAAACCTAAATTCTTCTGATTCCTCATTACTGACTGATGTAGAAATACATATGTAAAAACTCTGGCCCAAGTCTGATGGCCTCTCATAGACACTGAAACAAACTATAAGAAACAAAGCCAAATGTTCTAAGAAAAGTACTGACTGCTAGTGCTGCTTGGATAGAAATAGAAATAGCAATTGTTCACAACTTACAAACTTCAAGGAGGATCAGTGGGGGAAGGAGAAAGATGGTTGTCTAATGTGATTTGCATGCATCTCTGTTTATTATCCACACCACATCATGTTCTCTAGGAATACCTGTTTTTACCTGTGCTTATTTTTCTATGAAGCAACGCTTGCTTGGTTGCTCCTTCTGCCAGTTCAAGACGTAGGAAATGTGGGTAGAAGACAACCCTGACAACCTCAGATGGTTTGGGGACTTGAGAATGTATTTTTGCAGTTTTCTCAGATAGCAGTGTTTCAATGGAGAAGGAATCAACTTTCAGTCTTGGCTTAGCCAGCTTTCTAAGAATTTGTTAAATTATCTTTTTTTTTAAATACAGGAAATATACCAAGGCAAAAATCAAAATTAACTCTCCATCCTTTTGAGTTCATTCCAACAGAGAGAAAACAAGTAAGTGCTGCATAGTTCACTGACTCCTATTTGTGTTCTACATAAACATAGATACCATGGCCAATTAAATTGACATTGCCCTGTAGAAACATAATGGCAATACCAGAGCCAAGCAATAGAGTCCCTTGCTTGCTTACGTTGGGTTTATATCCAGGAGCCCAGTCTAAACAGTAGGTCTCCATTGAGCCTATCTCTTCCTACTGCCATAGAAATTGCTTTCAACTAATGCAATTGGTAGGATATTTTGCCTTGGAATCCTGGAGCCCAACTGCCAGTGATCAGATACTAGCTTTGAAACTTTGAATGACTTGTATATAAATTATATATCTCAATTTCCTTAACTATATATGGAAATAATAACCACATTTCCCTCATTTGGCAGATTTGAGACATAAGTTAAATTTCAGTGAGGCCTTTAGAACACTGCCTTGTACATAGTAAGTCATCAGCTATAGTAATTTCCAGAATTATTATTATTATAGACTTCAACTTATGAGGAGGGTTTTTATGAGGGATTTCATAAATAACTTTTAAATTTAATACATAATTTTTACATAACTTTTATGCATATGTGAGTTCATAGATACATAATGTAATACTTTTATGAAGGATTTAATATGTAATACCTTCTTTCCTGCCTGATGTAGGTCAGCCACGTGGCCCAGTTCTCAGCGTGGGGTGCCCAGCTATCTCTCCATGACTGCCGCACATACTCACAGGTAATCAGCAGCTAACTCACCTCATTCTTCCACAGAAATCAAGACTTACACAAAACAATAAGCAGCATAGTTCTTGGTCCCTTTTGAGTAGCCACTGGAAAGCATGTTAATATTAGCTTTCTAGCACCTAAGGGATAGTTCTAAGAATACATCTCATTTTAACCTGTACTTTAGACAGAGCCCTGGGATTGAGTCCTCAGAGATGGCTCACAAATTGCTAGATCTTGCTCCAGAAACAGAAAAGCTCAAGGAACATAGAGACAAACTGAAGTATATAGAAGTATATAGAAGAAAACATCAAAAAGTAGGCATAAAACACACAGTCATTGTCATTTATACTCGACACATGTAAAACCAAAGAATTGAATCTCCATATGATTACAAATATGTGGCCCAAGTCTATATATAGAAGAAACTGTCAATTTAATTTCAAACATAATTGTGTGGAAGGCTTCTATTTTGGATCTAAATGCCACTATTTCTCTTCACTGATAGTTTTCTCCAACCTATTGTAACTTCTCTGATTAGCATAAGGACACAAAGCCATGATCCCTTGTCCACACTGTTTCCTAGACATGAAATCACCACCAACACCAAAATTTTACAAGTACACCTTTAAAAAGTATTATTGATAAGTATCTAAAATTTCAATCATGAAGTCCAACTAGGGGTGACCAAATACTGGGTTTGTTGCATGCTAGCTTTGAAACTTTGGATGACTTATATATAATTTATATGTCTCAATTCCCTTAACTGTAAATGGGAATAATAACAGAATCACCTTCATTGAGCAGATCTGAGACATAAGTTAAATTTTTCTGAGGCCTTTAGAACATTGCCTGGTGCATACTAAGTTGTCAATTTTAGTAATTTTTAAAATTATTATTTTGGACTTCAACTCATGAGGACAATTCCATAGATGTGATTTATTCTAAACAAATTGAAGAAACTTATGTGAACAATCCTGCAGTCATCTTTCTTGTGAACTCTCTAACGATGTTAAGCATTTTCTAATTTTGGAATCAATATGTATATATTATGTGGTTCCCATTAAAATGTGATTATTTGGAGTGAAAAAGTTAAGGTCTCTTTATTACACAGTTGAGATTTTTGAGAACATCTTTCAGATAGACATATTTAATAAAATTAATAATTGAATACAAAGAATAAATATAATATCCTTAATTTTATATCTGAACTAGCCTATCTTCTCCATCATTCCATGCCTACATTTCATTAAAGCTATTTTCCCCACTTCACATTTTTCCTGTACGTATACAAGGAAATATTCTCTTGGGTGCAATCAGGTCTTCATGTCTAATCAAATTCAATTTTAAGACATTTGCTCAAAGGCACTTTTTTTCCTATATGTAAATGAGGAAGCATCTAAAGCTGAGAATTGCTAAAAATATCTTAGATCCATGAGGGAGCTAACCTTAGGATCAACATTAAATTGAGTTTCAACACCAAATATTAAATACTCAACACCAAATATTAAGACAAAATTATTTCCAGTGACACAGTTTAGTTATTCAAACAAACCTTATAAAAAACCAGATCAACCTCTTACTTGTTGTGAGAACCAATAAATTTCCTTTAGTGAATAAGACATTCTAAATTGTTTTTTCAAAACCCAAAATGTAAAGCATACCAACAGATACAGATTTCATTACTTTTTTCCTCAGACACTTTCCTCCTAGTGGCCTCGGTTCTACAGCTGCACTATCAGCTGGTTGCTTTTCACATGTCTTGCTGGGAATATCCTTTACTGCTCTTTTGTTTGGGATCCACTGGGATTTGGGATTCACACCTCATGTCTTCCCATTTTACAGATAACCCTGTAGTTTTCCTGGGACACACCCTGTAGTAAGTTCCAGAAGTAGTATGAGTGGGAGGTATAATTTCAAAATCTTTGTATGACTGAAAATTACTTTGTCCTCAACTATGATATTTTGAGTTGAGTCATGGTTATCAATTGAATTGTATTCCCTCAAAATTCATATGTTGATGTAGTAACCCCGCAATATCTCACAATATGGCCTTATTTGGAAATAGGGTCATTATAGATGTAATTAGTGAGGTTTACATTATACTGAAGTAGGGTAGGCTCCTAATCCAGTATGACTATTGTCCTTATCAAAGAACACCTTGTGAAGAAACAAACACATACACAGGGAGAATGCTAAGTGAAGACGAGGGAAGAGATCAGGGTGATGTCTATAAGTCAAGGAATGCCAAAGATTGACAAAAAAAAAACACCAGCAGCTAGACAAAAAGCATGGACCAGATTATCTCCCTATATTCCATAAAAGGAAGCAACCCCACTTACATATTGATCTTAGACTTCTAGCCTCCAGAACTGTGAAATAATAAATTTATATGATTTAAGCCATCTAGTCTGTGCTATTTTTTTATAGCAGCCCTGTCAGACTAACACAGATATGGTGATTGAAGAAGATTTTGTAAACAATAAGTACATTTATTTCCTATCTATATGGTAGTCAAGGATTCTGGCACCATTGTAATCCTATTTATTTTAGGTAACCTCTTGTGGTTTTTCTTTCCTCTTTTAAATATATTAATATGATCTCTTTAAATGCAAATGTCTGAAAATTCATTCTCATTTACTAAGTGAATTAATTGAAACTTTTTATTATATGGATCTATAACCTACTGTGCTATGTTCTCTTAAATGTTTTAAATGTTTGCATGCAGCCATCAGTAAAATGCCAAATGGTCTCTCTTCAACTGGAATGACAAAAACTCAGTGAAATGTGTGACCATGAGGACATTGTAACCTACAAATGATGTGCTGAGACCAGAAACCAAAAATGATGGTAACCAAGAGTGGCACTGAAGCCCTAAGTTGTGGTCACACTCTCACCTAAGTGAGAACCTGACCAAAAGAGGGGAACTTTTAAACAAAATTATGGGAAGCCATTGTTTTCAACTGAACTCATGTAGGGACTATGTAACCCCAACAGATCAGACCAGACCAAACAAAAATGGAATCACTCATGCTAAATGCAATATAATCAAACTGAAATTTTAAGGAAATAAATAAATTTTAAAACAAACCAGGTTTTGTTTTTCTCCTGAAAACAAGAGCTTCCAGCAAAAGGAGGTCCCCCTCTACTCTAACCCTTAC